GTATTGTCTTATCATGTGATTTGGTCTGTTATCTTTGTGGWAGGTAGTGTGGTGTTATATGGTATWGTATAGTGTGGTACAGTATTGTCTTATCRTGTGATTTGGTYTGTTATCTTTGTGGAAGGTAGTGTGGTGTTATACTGTATCCTAAAGCATGGTATGGTGTGGTGTTGTTTGGTATGGTGTTGATGATCTAGATTAACAATGACAGTGATTAGAGTATTTATTCTGATGCTGTTYATCAATTTTTTTCTCTTGTAGGTGTTAGTAATAATTAGTTTTAGCTCTTTATCTTTCCAAATCATGCATCGATCTCACAAAAAACTCAAACAAAGGCCATTTGTCATAYAGCAAACAAGGTGCATTCTGGTCTTGCTTGGGTATGTCAGGCTTTGTCAAATTTGCCTTTATTTATCCACTTAAAAACTGGACCAAAATCACCTTTTATTGCTTCTGTTAATGGAAAAACCTAGTGAGCCTTGTATGCCAAATTATGTTAATGTTTGTTTAAATGACTACCATGGCTGACCATCCTGACAGACAGCAATATTCTTTTCCAGACCACAAATTCTACCCCATAGCTTGGGAGGATGCGACAAAATCACAAACTAAAAGGTAACAGAAATACTTACTGAAGAGTTGAAGTCATCTGGGTCTGGCACTTCTTTAATGGTTGTCTTGGTGGAGAATTCAAGTCTTAATGGTTGGCCCTGRATAAAGAAATATGGATGCACAAAAATTTTGAAATTAGGCTGAGTTTATAAGGTAAAATTAGGTAAAGACTTCTCCTCTTGATGATGTAGCCATTCCTTATAGATACCCCCCTCGGCATTTTGTTAGGTTATCTCCATTGAGAATGTACTGAGAATGCTTTTAGCCCATACTATGGCAATATTTACTATTAAAGGSGGACTAGCACAAAAATCTTCAGAAACTTAATTTGGCTGAAACTTCAATGGAGTAATCTTTAAGGGTCTAATAATCACTGGTTAAAGTTTTTTCCCTATATTCCAATGGGAAGTATCATATTTTTATAATGAATTTTTTAGGTGTCTGATGTCATACTCTCAAAATGCTATGAGCATTGCTTCATACATTTCTTTGTAAATAACTTCATGTTTTACTCTTTCTATTAAACCCAAAGGTCCGCTTAGGGACTTAACGTACATAACTTGTGGTTAGAATCCTTTTATGATATTTTTTCTTCAATACCGAGTATAAAACTAGCGGATAGTTTGATTACGAAATACAAAGAAATGTTTAGTGTTGAGTGTATGACGTCACAGACTCCTATAAAAATTTGTTAAAACATAATACTTCTCATCTGAATATCAGCAAAAAAACTTTAACCAGTGATTATTATTTCTTTAAGGGTTATTCCAGTAAAGTTTCAGCTGGATAAAAATTTGGATGATTTTTGTGCTAGTCCCACTTTAAGTGTTGATACAGTTATTATTTTTTATTTTGAGATGCTGAGACCAGAGATTTTAATGCATCGCTTGTTACTTACCGTTATTCTGATGGGGTTAAAGAGAGATGTCTTGAACAGTGTTAGTTCCCTTCCTGTCCCTGGGTAAGGAGCCACTGCTGGGTAAAGGTAGTCTCTTGCATTGTTGGCATAGTGACCAATGACATAACCATCTGAAACGAAATGAACAATAATTTACGGCATTACAGTCAAAATGGCTCAAGCTTTAAAAAACAAAAAAAAGCCTAATTCATTCGCATTGGTGAGTGCGAAAGGAGATATTGAGGTTTATAGCCCTWTCGTGAATATCTCCTAGGATCGAATTAGAATTACCCCCCCTGGATTCCATTAATGCTCATTATTCGAATATTGAAACTTATTATTCTTTCCGAGAATAATGACCAATCCAAAACTGGCATTGTAATTGGATTAGGGTGTTCCTTATATGGAATGGTCAAATTAGAATTCAAGTTTTGAATTGGCTATTAATTTGAATCCTGAGTGTTGGTATTYTTGTAAAGAACAATAAGTTTCATTACTCGAAAAAACTAAATCATTRATGGAATCTAAGGGGTAAGCTTGAACTGTTTTGACTGTAAGTTTTTTACTTCATAAATACATAGTTGACAGCTTAGTAAATATTCCACATAGCTTTTGTGGGTCATAGAGATAAAAGAAAATCTTACTTGAGCCAMAACAAAAACCTTAATGTGAGCATTTCTTGGAGTGGCGTATGTCGAAAATTCATTTCAAGTGCTGAGGCTTTAACTCCAAATCTCTAAATTGCTASTCAAACAAATGCCTTTACAGACAATAGATCTGATGGATCCAAGCACAAGAAGCAATGCACAACAGAAAAAGAATGCAATAGCTAAGTGAGACAACATTTTTTTGCTGAGAAGTTTGACAGACAGTAACAAAGCCAWTTCAAGAATTTGAGTGACAGACAGAAAGCCTATGTAAATAGAAACCTTAGCTTATCTTCCAAATCTTCCTCAAAGCCTTAGTAAAGCTTATTTTTACAAACTTCAGAAATATATAGAAAGTAAAGGTCAGACACATGAAGATGAAGACGAGGTAGAAAAAGTGAAATTAGAGAAGGCAATTAAAGAAAATGTTGTTTATTGTGAAATATCTTATCTGTAAGTTTCTTACATCAAAACTTGTTTAGAAAATTAAAATATATGGATAATACTTAAGGTTTTGATATAAGAAGCTAGAGCTTAGGAGTTTAAGAATTAGAAGAATTAATTTAGACGCTCTTTAAGCTTGTGAAACTGTGTAATTAAAAAGAGAATTTTAAGTGCAAATACTAAGGGTTCAACTGCTTCGTTTCGTAACAAGCTGGTCAGAGAAACTTTTGTGGTCTTAATTAGCAAGAAACAAAAGCATTTAGAGTAAAWTAGTTAARATTAMAAAGTAAAACACCCACAGGAAYTTAAAAGAAAAAATTATAATCAAARTTATCAAAATGTGAATTATGCATAATTGAAAATACCTGAGATATAGTCGTCGTGTTGTCTTAGTTCTATCAAAATATCTTCGCCTGAGGATTGAAAGAAAATGTTAGAAGGAAATAATAAAAGGTTTAAAGTTAATAGTCTTGAAAWGAAGCTTTTCGTTCAACATGGCGGACGCCAAAGAAAGTGAAAGTTTCACRATACCTTTGAGATGAATCGAGACATAAGCAGGATCTTGGCAGCTTCTAAAAACCTAGGTAAACGAAGCTTGAGTATTAGGGTTTTCTGTGATAAATTATTAAAGAGATCGGAYAATTTGTTGTGGTTAAATGATCGCTTTTTAGACGTACCCTTTCGAAGCGAAGTCTTTCGTGGAAGAAGAGAGGAAACGTTGGAGGTACAGACTTTGTGTTCACTTCCAATCCCATACAGTTAACTTTCAAGTACACATATCCATAATCCCGTAGAAAAGTCCCAGGACATGTYACCTAAATATAAATTAGATTTACGATGATCATTTAGCACAAWAAGAAATCCAACTTCGAACGAGAACACACTTCGCATAGCGTCGTTAGCAACCAAGTCAAACTCTAAAATTCCGAGCTCAAATCTGCAAAATATTCTYACCGTATGGATGTCTAGCTCTACTATGACCTTCATTGCTTTCCTAGGCATCTTGGGTTCAAATTTCTTCGAATTCGAGCGGTATTTTCTCCTATTTTTTTGTCAATAAAGTGTGTGAGTATATGACTGCAATAGTGTCTGTAGTCCACGCTCGATCAGGCAACGCGTCTCAGCGGGAAGACGCGAAAACCTGTAAACAAAAACCAACCAATCACAGCGSGATAATCACAAAGATTCATTAAAACGAACACATTACCAAATTATTCATTTTGAYTACGTCACAGTGCTCTAAATAAGCCATTAGAATTCAGTATACAYTCTACATTCCTTAATGTGTATTTAAAATTTAAACAATTTATTTTTAGCAATAAACATTTATTTTAGAAATGATATTTTGGAAACCTTTTAGGTCATGTGTCATGAA